TCATAGTAAAGCTCTCAACGTTGTGAAGTACGTCCGTCCAGCCTTGAGCCTGCGACTGCAGATGCGTTTTTTCTCTCACTGTTGGGAGGAGTTTCTCAAGGGCACCCTTTAAACACTGTCTGCTTTGTTCTGTTTCCACCTCACGCCCGCTTTAAGTGAATATCATAAATTTATCATCAATTTATTTTAACTTTATTTCCCACTTCATTAGTTTCTAGGGCACCTCGCTGAGGGAGGAGAGAAGACGGTAGCCTCCTTTGAGAGTAAAAATGCAATTTCACAGTCAACTTACACTGAGATACTTTACACAACAATAGAAGGGAGGAAAGGCTACTTGAACACTGCAGTCTGTTATCAGACATTAGAGACAGGAGTCATCGAGGAATAAAGTGCTTGGTGGAGAGTGCTAAATCCCTTTAAACACTGCCAGTTAAACAGCCACGGAACGGATCCAAAGATTATAGAATACACAAGACATGTCACTCGCATAGTTTTAAATCGGGAAAAGTGTAATGGTCAATATGGCGAATGAAGCCCCGCCTACTAGTAGAGGAGCCAATCATCAATTGCTATAGTCTAACGTTTCTCTGGGGGACCAGATGTGTGCTTTTACGACAGTTTGGTGGTCAACAAACACACTGGAATCTCAGCAAATACTGAAAAAAGACATACAGTGCATCCGGAAAGTACTCATATCGCTTCTCTTTTTTTACATTTTTTTGTTTTGTTACAACCTTATTGCAAAATGGATTAAATTCATTTATTTCCTCAAAATTCTACACACAACACCCCATAATGACAGTGTGAAAAAAAACGATTTTTTAAAATTGTTGCAAATTTATTTAAAATAAAAAACCTGAACAATCACATGTACAGAAGTATTTCAGCCTTTGTTCAATATTTTGTTGATGCACCTTTGGCAGCAATTACAGCCTCAAGTCTTTTGGAATATGATTCCACAAGCTTGGCACACCTGTCTTTGGAAATTTTTGCTCATTCCTCTCATTCTCTATCAGGTTTACAGCCATCAGATCTCTCTAGAGATGTTCAATAGGATTTATGTCTGGGCTTAAGTCTTATCAGACCAGAATATTTTGTTTCTTATGGTCTGAGAGTCCTTCAGATGCCTTTTGGCAAATTCCAGGAGGGGAGTGGCTTCCTTCTGGCCACTCTGCCATACAGGCCTAATTGGTGGATTGCTGCACAGATGGTTGTCCTTCTGTAAGGTTCTCCTATCTCCACAGAAGAACGCTGGAGCTCAGACAGAGTGACTATCAGGTTATTGATCACCTCCCTGACTAAGGCCCTTCTCCCTCGATCACTCAGCTTAGATGGCCGGCCAGCTGTAGGAAGAGTCCTGGTGGTTACAAACATCTTCCACTTACGGTTGATGGAGGCCACTGTGCTCATTGGAACTTTTAGAGCAGCGGAATTTTTTCTGTAACCTTCCCCAGCCTTGTGCTTCGAGACAATCCTGTGTTGGAGGTCTACAGACAATCCTTTTATCTTAATGCTTAGTTTGTGCTTTGTCATGCACTGTCAACCCTGGGACCTTAAATAGACAGGTGTATGCCTTTTCAAATCATGTCCAATCCCGTAAATTTACCACAGGTAAAACTCCAACTAAGCTGCTGAAACATCTCAAGAATGATCAGTGGAAACAGAATGTACCTGAGCTCAATTTAGAGCTTCACAACAAAGGCTGTGAATACTTATGTACATGTGATTTTTTTTTTAGGTTTTTATTTTTAATAGATTTGCAACAATTTAAAAAAAAATCTTTTTTTCACATTGTCATTATGAGGTGTTGTGTGTAGAATTTTGAGGAAACTAATTAATTTAATCCAATTTGGAATAAGGCTTTCCGAATGTAGTGTATATATGCTTGTAATCTGAATGAAATGAACGCAAGGTACAGTCCATCCTGTCAAATGCACATCACGTGACGGCAGAAACTACTTTAACACCCCACAAGCATGCGAACATAGAGTCATTGCCATTTCTGGATGAGATTTGCCATCTAGACCAAGTTGTGGATTACTTCAGAAGATCATTATCCAGAGGATGATAACACTGTTATAAATGAGGTTGGTGTCGTGATCTTGTCGAGTGCGCATGCACATTAGCTTGGCCAACTTAAATATGCCCTTTTTATTTGATTCGTATGTTTTGAAATGAAACTTATGATGAAGTTGTTGTTTAGTTTTACTGGTGATTCTAAATGTGTTATGTAATCATAAGCTTGGCAAACAGTTTTGGGAAATTTGATGTTTCCCCTAGTCAGACAGAATGCCCGAACATACTGCCCAAGAGGCATATCAAAGATGGCCACCGAGTGAAATGACTTTCCTTAAAGGGACTTTGACTGGTCTGTCCGAACTTGAAAGGATCTGGCTCAGGCAGATAGCATACTTTGAAAATAAATAAATAATTATATAAGAACAACCTCAATTGCACCAAAAACTGATCAAATTCCCAAGATGGCATATCATATTTATAACGGAAACAAAAGAAGGAGTCCGTTTTGAAAGATAAGCAGAATTTTAATTCATAAACAAATGCTTTTTAGCCTGGCACACACAGACAAGGCTTTTCACAGTGAATCAGATTGCACTAATGAAGGAATCAAAACATCATTTATTACAGCAGCTTCCAGTCAGTCGCGCTGGCACGCTCTCTTACGTACACACGCTGAGATGGCAAAGACATGACAGGGGCTGATAGATTCTTCTCGCTTCATTACCCCCAGTCTCTCGAAATGGAGCATAAGTCCACATCAAAATCAGCAACCAGCTAATCAAACACAGGCGCAAATCAAGCACCGCTGAAAAAGGAAGATAGAGTCATTTGGACAATTATCCTTTCGTTCCTTAGAATTAGCGGATAATTTGGCACAACAACAAAAAAATTAGGTGAAATCTCATTGACACATCACCAAGCAGCATTCAGGGTTCATACACATTTTTACTAAAAAAAGATTCCATGACTTTTCCATGATTTTTCCAAGACTTTCAAGTAAATTTTCATGACCTAATGTTTCATGCAATGTCTACATATGTGTGGTAAAAGAAAAACAATGCATGTTCAAATTTATTACAGCATCTCGTTAAACATACAACAATCTATTTTGTTTCAATTTATATTTATATCTATGAAAAATTGATTTATAGAATGCTTACACCGCACTAATAATGTGAGAGTGTGTGCTTGGCCAATGACAGAAAAGAAGTAAATAACCTATATTCAAGTATACAGATATCTGTTTCCAGGACTTTTTCAAAACATTGTGGGTTTTCTGCATGTTTTTCCAAAACTTTTCCAGGCTTGGAAAATGCCATGCCAAAAGTCCATGACTTTTACAAGTTTTCCATGACCGTATGAACCTTGAGCATTATGGGTATTAATGGTAAACCAAAATAAATGGTAAGTTCAAACATGAAATTTTAGCCATCGGTCTTCATGTCATTCAAAATTGTACACTGTAAAAAAAATAATAATCTGGGCTCCACACAATACCTTCATGTTGTCCTAAGTCAAATTATTCATTCATTCATTTTCTTGTCGGCTTAGTTCCTTTATTAATCCGGGGTCGCCACAGCGGAATGAACCGCCAACTTATCCAGCACGTTTTTACGCAGCGGATGCCCTTCCAGCCGCAACCCATTTCTGGGAAACATCCACACATACACTATTGACAATTTAGCCTACCCAATTCACCTGTACCGCATGTCTTTGGGGGAAACCGGAGCACCCGGAGGAAACCCACGCGAACGCAGGGAGAACATGCAAACTCCACACAGAAACGCCAACTGAGCCGAGGCTCGAACCAGCGACCCATCGACCTTCTTGATGTGAGGCGACAGCACTACCTACCGTGAAATCAATAGATTAACTTAATTGTTTTGGCAAATTGAAGTAGATTAAACATAAACTAGTTAACAAAGACAATGCTCATTAATCAACAGTAAAACTGTAAATAAGCCAGTTGAGCTGTGGTCACATTGCACTTTCTCCCCATAGACTTCCATTCATGCGCATGCGAATGTGACAGACCAGAAACGCAAGCTTGTTTTGCATTTTAGTGCATTCGAAAGTTCAAGCTCCGTGAACTATGGCCTGTGAAATTATATCATGTGATTGCGTAAGATCAACACACACACACGCACGCACGCACGCACGCACGCACGCACGCACGCACGCACGCACGCACACACACACACACACACACACACACACACAGTAAAAGTCAGAATTATTAGCCCCCCTGTTTATTTATTTTTTTCCCCTAATTTGTGTTTAACAGAAGATTTTTTTTCAACACATTTCTGAACATAATAGTTTTAATAACTCATTTCTAATAAGAGATTTTTTTTTATCTTTGCCACGATGACAGTAAATAATATTTTACTAGCTATTTTTCAAGACACTTCTACAGCTTAAAGTGACATTTAAAGGCTTAACTAGGTTAATTAGGTTAACTAGGCAGGTAAGGGTAATTAGGCAAGTTATTGTATAACAATGGTTATTCCTGTAGATTATTATTTAAAAAATTGCTTAAAGGGGCTAATAATATTGACTTTAAAATGGATTTAAAAAAAATTAAAAACTGCTTTTATTCTAGCCGAAATAAAACAAATAAGACATTCTGCAGAAGAAAAAAATATTATCAGACATACTGTGAAAATATCCTTGCTCTGTTAAACATCATTTGGGGAATATTAAAAAAAAGAAAAAAAAATTCAAAGGAGGGCTAATAATTCTGTCTTCAACTGTATATCTTGAGTGTACAAAAGCAGTTAATCCGTGATGAAGCCTATTAGATCCAAGTCATATGAAAGTGTTTTCTAAAATATTACATCATTAAGAAAATGTCAGAAAAATAGTATGCTCGCAATTGGAAATGTCACCAATTTGGTCATTGTAAAATACTAGAAATGAAAATTCTGTAAGGAAGAAAAAGAAAGCCATACAGATTTGGTAAGGCAGACAGAAGACAGAAGTTTCATTTTTGAATGAACTATCCATTATAATTGGATTTATTGGATGATTGTCTTTCAGAAAGGCAGATTATCAACTGTCCATCTCTGAATAAAAATCAAATATGATATGCTTCAATCGTACATCCCATTGTACCATGTGTCCCATTGGATATTTAAGGCATATTCCACCCTCATTGTGTGTTTGTCCTTTAAATTCAAATCACTCAGTTATCAAAAAACGATAACACTGAAATTAAGTGCCAATGCATTACTGTCCCAACACAGAACTTCATATTCATCTCAGAGTTTGCTGTTCCTCTGAAATTGTGACACCAGTCCCAGCACCTGCTCCGAGGCCTTGATGACTTTATTGTGCAGGTAAGCGATGCTGTTAGTGCCAGTCTCTTGCAAAAAGTAGCGATAATTGACCATTATTCCACAGGAGTTGGCGATTCCTCTTGGGCTTGTATCGGCTTGCCAGTTTAGCCTCCACATGGTGGCGCCGTTCTGAAGGTGAAAGTTGGCTACGGGGTTGAGAGCGTACCCTCGTCGTTTTTCACCAAACAGATACCAAGCACAGAGCCGCATGAGCGCAGGCTCCAAAGCACGAACCAGACGGTCAGAGTGAATCCACTCGCTGGTGCTGATGAGTCTGCGCAGGGCCTCCAGAGCCGGGGCACCAGGAGCAGCTCCCGTCACGTCCTCCACTTCCCGCCACTCCTGCTCAGAGAGGAGCTCTGTGGCTCGACCCTCCTTCTTGTGCTGTCCCAAAGCCCCTTGGAGCCATAAGGAGAAGCCAGGGATCGGAGACAGACTGGAGAACTGGGCCATGTGTGGAAACTCGCTCTGCAAATACAGGTACACACTGACAGTTAACCCTTTAAAAATGTGTCTATACCACCAACAGACAAACAGAAATATAACTCATTTGTTTGTTATTCTTCTTATTATTAAATTGATAGTATTTAAGCTATCTATTTTAAACCCAAAAATGTTGTGATCAAGGAATGGTTATGAAAATTAATTATTAGCTTTTTTAACATCAGCGTTGTTAAAACTATACTACAACACATACCATAAACAACTGTTCTTTCTGGTTCTTGAATCTGATTGGCTGATAGCCGTGCAATATTCTGCCAGTAACATCACACAAAGGCCTCTTCGCCCTTCACCTTTGTGTATTACTCCACCCGATACATTCAGCAACAAGCAGAGAGACACTACAGTTTGACAAAAATTACTGCTGTTAGACAACCTAATGTACTTTTGAGGCTTTTTTTTGTCAAGAATGTAGTTGTTTAAAATGCAACTATGCAGTTTATTTATAAGAATAGGGCCTATTTAAAAATATTTACAATTTCTGAGAGAGCCCATCAGCGGCCATTAGCCTGCCATAGAGTAGACCAAAGACAGTTGATGTTTTCTATCCACAAGATGGCAACAGAACTGCATAATAAGCCCTAACGCTTAGAGGATTATAGTAGTCTGATTTCTAACTACAGCAGATCAAATTATTATCAAACTAGTGAGCATACCTGCCAACACTCACGTTTTTCCCGGGAGTATCCCATAATTTAGACCAATCTCCCGCAACCATCCTGTTTTTTATTTCTTCCGGAAAATTCCAGTAATTTCACCCCTCATCCTTTTTGGTACAGTCTGTAGACACCCCCAGGTTGCCAACTTTGGTACAGTACCCGATCGCAGAGGCTGCCCAAAACCCGCGGCATGATCAGTGTTGCCAGATTGGGCAGTTTTGAATTTGATGACATAGGCAGGTAGTGAAAATTTAGCCCCGGTCTTTAGTTATAAACCTGTTATGATCTCCCAAAGAGATGCCGTACCCCCCATTCTTCACATGCAAACGCTTACAACAGTTGTGATCTCCCAAGAATCTCCCAAGGCTTTTTTTTCGGGTTAAATTATTGTGATATCCCGATTGCAACAGAGATGTACTGTAGAGTGTAACACTGTAAGAAGATATCTCTGCAGACGGACGGCATTTCATGTCACGTTCGTCCTTATAATCTTCATCAGCTGTTTTGTCATCACTTTAGATATTACGCTTTAGAAAGTCGTTCAAACACTAGCTCTAAAGTGAAGTGAATTAGAAGGTGATTTAGTTTTTGACGTCAGCTGCAGATGTGAATAAATGGCAGAAGAAAGTAGTTCCAAATAAAAAGGGTTTTTAGAGTCTCCATGTTTGATTTTGTTTTTGTTTGATCACACTCGTAGCAGTGCAATATGGCTGTATATCAGTTCTGGTGGGACGCTATGCACGCTCCCACCAGTGCTAATATACAGCTATATCACACTGCTACGAGTGTGATATTGCTCATATAACACTGCAGCCAATTTTTTAAAAAATGCACAGTTAAAGAGATGTTTCACCTAATGTCAATTCTGTCGTCATTTACTCACACGACTTCTTCCGAACCAGTATGAGTTTTTTCTTTTTAATACAAGAGTTAAAAAAGTTTTTTTGAACAATGTTGGACATGAAATGCAAACATTGCATTTTTTTTCCTACTATGGATGTCAATGGTTAGAAGATTCTAACATTCTTTAAAAATATCTTTTGATTAAAACGAATGAATGAAATTGTTTGGGTGAAATATTCCTTTAACGGTGCATTTATAATAAAAAATAAAACTTTATAGTTACAAGATTAGTGTTAATAAGAGCTAAAAAATATTCTCCTAACTATTCTGTCTATACAAGCGTTTTAAATAAGGTTTTACACATTCAAGCCAGGTTTAGACTTCAGGAGTTCCAAAATCCTAACCGAGGATGAAATCTGTTTGGAGTAGGAGTATATTAGTTATTATGAGTTGATTTGTGAAGAAACTAAATGTTATTAACTGGCTCTTTTAATAAATCACAGAGATTTGAGTCAACTTAAGTTTACAGATTTGATTTACTGAAAAGCAGTTAGGCCCTTATTCTTAAAATGAAGTTATGTGTACAGTAGATGTTATCTTAAAACTTCAGTCAGAATTTAATTCACTGACAAGTGTTAAAATAAAAAAAACAAAAAAGTGTAAAAAATCCCCTTGATTTTGTTATAATATTAAAGAAAGCATTAAATAACCTTTCTCCTCAGTCTTTTTTTCTTCTTTATATCCCATCCAACCCGTTCCATTTGTACTAATTTAAAAACCATGTTGAACAAGTCCACCGTGTCTCTTTCTCTTTCCCACAAGGACATCGACACACTCATTTTCCATCCCACATTGAAGCCAAAGAGAGCACTGAACAAACCAAACGTGTCAGACGGGCCCCGGAGGAGCCGAGATTTGAAGCCTCAAGTCCATCGCACTTCCTCGTTCTTCGCCATGCATCACTCCTTCAGACAGGCAGGAGTGAAGGAAGATTAACCACGTCCAAGGGTCACTTTTCATTCATCAACTCAATTTACTGTAAAACATCGGTCAGCGGGTTTAAAGCTACAGAGGGAGAGAATGAAGCGCGAGGACAAGAAGAGAGTGCAAAAGAGCCTCGTGAGGATTCCGCTGAAAGACAAGCAAACCCTCCTCCCTTTTTCCTAAATCACACAGTGACCTTTCTCCACCTCTTTTTTTCTGTCTATCATCCATCCATCAAGCCGATCGTCCCCTTGTGGCACAGCTAGTCACCTTTACTCTTTCCAACAGCAGAAGTTCGATCTCCAGCTCTCACAGGTACTTTATACTTCTTTCAAACAACATAACACTTTCTCTAGATTATACAGAGATGTAACGACTGTCAACAATAAATAGAGAGTCATTTATAAACAGTTACTGTAATTAATTTATATTTAAAAGGGGGTTACTGATATATAGACTGATAAATACAAAACTGAATATGAGTTTTTCTGTGTCTGATTGCTAAAATAAACCCAAAAAATATTAATTAGATGATCTTTTTTGCTTTCAGAAAACTAGGTAACTTCTACAGATCTTTCTTTTACAAAAAAAGCATGTAGATAAAGTGCTCCTTATTTTACAAAAAAATATCTATGAAGTGCATGCTTGCAGATCAACCAGTGGAATTTGTAACTGACCAATGAGAATGACATTAAAAATAAGTGTTTATTGACAGATACGATATGACAGCTGACATTTATTGTAGATCATTATTAGTTACCATTAGGGTTGTTCTGATACTGATACTAGTATCACAAATACTCTCGCCAAAACAGCAAATCTGGGATCGGTATTGGTAGGTATTTGAAACTATAAACCGATCCAATACTCAGCTTTTTATGACATATGCTCCTTATTTTACAAAAAAAATATGAGACATGCTCATTCTTTTACAAAAATATCTATAATGTGCATGCTTGCAGACCAACTGGTGAAATTTATAACTGACCAATAACAATGACATTAAAAATAAGCATTTACTGATACTTAAATGACATCTGACATATATAATAGATCATTAATGGTTACCATAAGGGTTGTTCTGATACCGATATTACTATCGGAAATACTCGCCAATACAGCAAATATTCTGGCATTGGTATTGCAGAGTATTTGTAACTATAAACTGATCTGACACCATGGTTTTTTTTAAGAGACAAATGTTTTATATAGTTATACTGTAAAACTTTTTTTTTTCAGTTTTCAGGGTTTCAGTAAAGTAGAGTAAATGATATTGTTGAATGTCTGAAAATAAAATTGTCAGAAAAAAAAAAAATACTCACAGTACACATTTTTCATGTTTTATTAATGGATAAGTATGAAGCACACTGTAAAATAATTCTGTCAAGTTATACCGGAAGGGTTCCCATTTCATGAACAGCAGATTTAAGGACGTTCAATGACTTTTTATAGCACCTTCAATTTTAAAACAAACACCTTTGTAATTCACAGCCCAGCATATATAGTGCCATAAAACTACTTAAAATTTCACATTTGCTTAATATTTATGATCTATATATCAGAGTAATTTTCAAAAAGTTTGACTAAATTCAATGTTGGTAATATTTAAATGCAGTTTCTGAAATGTTGAAAAACAGTCAGCATTATTGTACAAGATTTAAATGTAGGATTTTTTATTTAAGAATTTCTCAGTTTTTTTTGCTCCGTTTTTGACAATTGAGTTTAATTGTTGAAATAAATACATAAAAAAAGCACTTTCAAGGAATGTTTGTTTTTAAGTACTTTAAAGCCCTTGAATGCATATGTTTGAAATTCCAGTACTTTTAAGAAGTGTGGGAATCCCGTACAGGGCTAGTAGTTTTCACATCTGTTTCCACAGATACATTCCAGGTATCAGTATCAGTATCAGCCAATACCCTGAGCTCAGGTATCAAAATCGATATCGGAAAGGAAAAAGGGTATATTAGAACATCCCTAGTTGCCATGGTAAATCTGTGTTAGCATCAAATGGACATTCATGTTTGGTGAAAACTATGATATCCATGCTAAATTTGTGCAAGGGTCACATAGATATTTCTATACTGAGATGAAAAGAATCTGATTCACACACACTTCAAAAACAAATTTCAACACAAATCCACAGCATCAACATGCACAATTTGCATGAAATATTATCTATCAGCTGCCCATTTCCACTCAACTGACGCCTTCAATCTCTCATCCGGGTAAATCAGCTCTGAGAACTGCAGAGAGCCCTTTACTAGGGTTAACCTCTATTACACAAACAGCCACTCGGCACTTTGTTTCAGCAACATTCTCACTCAAGCAAAACTCATCTGAATCTATAAACCTGAGTGCCTCTCGTTTCTTTTCCATTTAATTTCGCCTTCATCTGGTAAAGAGCCAGAGCTCTGTGACATGCCATGTGTCCCTCCTTCTTCATGTTATTGAGAGTGACAGATGAAATTTTATTAGTTTTCCTGTCTTTTTTTCTCTCTCTGCCTTTCAGATAGAAACATGCGCTACAGTCTGGCACTAGGTGATGCTGTGGGACAAATCTATTCAAGGTATGTCAATCAATTTATTGAATTAATTAGCATGTGACATTTAATTAACCACAAATTAGTATTTGTTGACAAAATCCCCTAGTCAGGGATCATTTGAATACATTATTGATGAACTCCCTTTATACATTTCATTTTAAACCCAGTAATGACTTTTTGTAGCAAACATACTGTACTAAATATGCTTTACATAAGTAGCATCCTTTCCTATTTATTAGGCTATAGTCATGTGTTAACAAACTTTGTCAGTCACACTTAAACCACAGTTTTCCTAATCCATCTACACTTATATATATATTATATATTTTGTTCCATGAAAGATGTAAGGGGGTCAAAACCATCAAATCCATGACTTGGGCTGCATTTACACGGCAGATCTTGATGGTAAATTCTGATTTTGTGACTGTATCCGATTTTATTTTTTGATGACCAGCTTACATCATCTTTTAAAAGTGACTCGTATCAGAATGTCTGCATTTACATTGCACACTGCAAAAGTGCAATGACCGAGAAAAAAGCAGGCACTGACTGACAGCTGATTATAAAAGAGCGCTCTTTCTCCATTCCTGCATTTAATCTAATTGCAGATATTTTTTTATTTTATTCTTTTTGGCAAGTTGTTTTACTATAGTTTGACAGAAAAATTCTCACTTGGCCATTTCTTTCCATCTAGGCCTTTTTAAACCTCTGAGCACTGGAATGTAATGTCCATGGCGTGATTTATGCATGTGATGTATTCAATAGTTTTAGATTAGTTTAGATTGGTTACATGGCGAATATTGCTCTCCCTCTCTCTCGCTCGTTAAGATGCTTAAAAAGATGCTACCTGTGCTGCATGACAATATAAAAGCTTTTTTAGTCCTCGTGTATGAGACTTAATGTTTGCGACTCTGCTGAAGTCTGTTCTGAAATAAAAGTGCCAGAGTTGTTGTCATGTGCCACTCGCATTGACACTGCACTCGCATGTGCACACTGCAGACACAAGTGCATGGATCTGATTCATATTGGATAACATGTCACACATAAACAAGGCCTGAATCTGATTTCAGTGAGTCAGAATCCATGTGTGTGTTTTTTTTTTTTTCAGCTTACACATACATGGGTCATAACCCAATCTGTGCCACAAGGGAGAAAAATATCGGAATTGAGTCACTTGAACTATGCAGTGTAAAAGCAGCCTTGGATTATCTGTGATATAACTTCTTTTATTTACAGGTGATCCTCTTTGCATGCGACCTGTCATCTGTCATTTTAAGCTTATTGATTATGCTTATGCTGATTATGCTATTGATTATGCAGCTTCAGAACGTTAGAAGCTGGTGCTGTATATTTAAGATTTGTACAGTATATAACTGCTTTTAGCATCTAATGATACATTTTAAAGGGGACCTATTATGCAATCACTTTTATAAGGGGTTTAAACACAGTTGTGTAGCAGCAGTGTGTGAATATAACCAACTTCTAATGGTAAAAGTTAATTCATTTTATATTTTATAAATCACAATTATATAAAAACAGTCTGCAGAAACACTTTGATTAACATTCTCCCTTTGTACGTGTCATCAGAGGGGAAAATCCCGGCCATTAGTGACCATCTTTCCCTCATTAGCATATAACATTAGTCTTGTTTTTTAATCTACCACTAGGCTAACACATCTCCACCTTCTCTTGAAAAGAGCACAATCTCATTTGAATTTAAAGCGACAGTCACCAAATTGGCACAATTAGAATCAAATCCTAAAATTTTCAAAGAGCCATAAAACATTATTTGTGGGGTAGTTTGGGCTGAAACTTCAAAAACACACTCCAAGGACATCAGTCTTATTTTGCATCTTGTAAAAAGAGGCCTAATATCTAATATTATCTATATAAATATATACAACGCTATAATTTAGCATATTTAACACACAAATGTCAATTAATTGTTTTCCCCCTTTAATAAATATTGTTTTTATAATGTCTGTAACCACAAAATTATTTCTAAATGAACTCTTTCATTCTATTATAGTATATGTAAATAGGTAAAGTCACGTTTGCTAATTTGCTTATTTGATAGAGATGCGTTTCTTTTTCTCAGATTAATATTTATTGGTAGAGAAAATCTATTTGTTCACTTCTTCTATTTATCCTTTGACTTTGTATTTCAATTTCGACTTTATTTGCACTCAACCTGCAAATTAGAATCGAACACAAATCCATCAATTTCTCCTTTCTGGCTGTTCTGTCTTCTTGTTGGTTAGTACAAGACATTTAAGACCATTTTACAACCACAATGGATGAAATTTCAGACTTACACAAGGCTAAACACTAAAGATTTTTTATGACCAATTTAAAATCATAAAAAACATTAAAAATGTTATTGTAAGGAAGATAATTAAACCATGTTAATAAGTAAATAGAGTTAATGAATAAATGTTTCTTAAAACTTTTATCAAAATATATTGTTAGTGATTAAATGGGTGTTGGCCCAACTGGGTATAGCTTTACATTGAAAATTAAGACCCGTTTAAAATGATTTAAGAGCTACAACACACTATTTAAGTGGATTTAAGAATTTTTTTAAATTTAGGACCCTGCAGATTCCCTGTAGTGCACAACTATTATCCAGCTTGGCTAAAAAAGTTAAATCACTTAGCCCGTGACTTGGTGGTCAGCGGGAGGGTCATGTTTCCCCAATGGTGTGACTTCATTTGAAAATGATCAATGATAATATATAGTCACTCTTTATTGCAAGCTACAGTTATTGCTATTAATAAACCAGAAATATATGCAAAACTATGACTTTTTCCTTCTTAAAATCTTAATTCGCTGCTTTGTAATAGTCATTACAGTTGTAGTTAAGTGTATGTATTAGGTAGGATTAGGGATGTTGAATAAGATCATGCAGAATACACTTTATAATTATTTATAAACAGCTAATATCTTAATAATAGGCAGGCAGTAAGCCACTACACTGTATAAAATGCTGGGATCCACATGTGTTGGGAAAACATGAAGGAATTAAGTTTAATCTTATTAGTTTTTACAAATTTAAGTGGATAAAACAATTAAATTGTCCACAAAAAAGCTTAAGAATTGTGTTGTTTCAGCTCATTTTAAATAAGTCTGAACAAACAACAAACATATTTTAAGTGGTTAAAGAGCCCATATTATGGGTTTTTGAAAATTCCCCTCCATGTAGTGTGTAACACAGCTCTAAGTGAAGTGAAGTATCCAGCTAAGGCTTAAATCTGTAAGAATACAGTGTTTAAAACTGTTGATTCATCTATAAAAGAGTCGACTCATAGTGCTTCGAACGAGTCGCCTTGATACCGACTCATTAGGTGTTTCGCCATGACGTACGAACGAAACCAAGTTATTCACGTGCACGCGCAAACCCGGGAGATTTCAAACCTGAGGCCCCGCCCTCTGACGCAGAAACCCAGACACACACACACCCACAAACACACACAAACATGCCGGTTGATTGAAGTCACACTGCAGATGGATATATTGAGTCTCTACCCAAAGATGAAACCTCAGCATTATAACCAAGCAGTTGGAAACTTCTGGAAGCTACATGCTACAAAGAATACTTCATCTGAGTTTGTTAAAGGAAGGATCAGTAAAGAGTAACTGATGGACGTCAGGATGGGTTTCTTCCATTTCTCTAGTGTAAGTACGTGCGGTTAAAGTTGTTGCCTCGTTTACTCTAGCTTGCAAATGTATTTAGTTGTGATTTGTTACTTGTAACCGCGTGTACTGTATCAGGTTAACTGGATATATTATCTTATCGCGTGCAAAGTCACGTTAAAAACGCGACGCGTGCTGCTTTGTTATTGGAGCTCCGTGCTAGAGTTCTGCTCCCGCGATTTATTCGGAAATTTATTCCCGCGCCGCAGAAATCTGGCGCGGGGACAGCCGCGGGAATAAATTTCCGAATAAATCGCGGGAGCGGTCGGTAACGGGTTTAATTTGGGACGGGAGCGGGCTGTCTAGCAATATCACGGATATTGCTATGCGAATTAGAAAGAGAGAGTCTGCTTGGTATGAGAGAGCGTATGAGAGAGAGCGAGAGAGAGCGAACGAACGAACGAACGAGCTCTGTGTGCTTTGTGCTGTGTGTATGTGTCTATACAGACAGCTTGGCTGTCTGGACTGTATACTGGTTGATTTTTGGTTGTGTTCTCCGCTCTAGCGGGACCGGGCGCGGCGGGCAGAAAACGGAGCGGGTTCTCAGGCTAAAACCTGGCGGGTGCGGGCGGAAGCGGGAGCGTTGTCATCCGGAGGTGTGTGTGTGTTTTTGTGTGTGTGTGGTATGGCGAGTACACGACTGTCTCCTTCGTTCGGTTATCCGTGGCACTATCCACTCGCCATAGTGTGGCAGCTAAAATTCACGCCTACACTATCGAGCGTGTATGAACTGTGATTACTTTTTAAATTGCTGATTAGCTATTGGCAATTTCCCTCTCTGACTGAAGGCAGTCGACCAATCGCCTCCAACTGTCATCGGTCCAATCAGCGCAGATTAGCTCCGCGCTAAGGAGGGGTTTGGGAACAAATGAATCACTGGACGATTCATACAGGAGTTGCTGGGATAATTAGGTAAAAATAAATGCAGATTATAAGACCATGAAAGTGTTTTTTGACCTTGCATGCATATTAGACTGTTGTTGGAGACCCTTACAACCAAGATATGACCCTATTTCATGTATAATATGGGCTCTTTAATAGTGAGAATTGTTATTAAAACTAAAGTATCTAAAATCTAAGATGCTTAAAAAACAATTACCAAAAACAATTATCACAGACTGTTTTTAAATAATAAGTGTGCTTCCTATTATCTTTCTGACTCATTTTGTAAACAGCTGTAGTGATCATCACTAGCACTACTCTTTAATCTAAGTTAATTTCTCATAGACTGCTTACCTGTAGTTCTCGGACCACCCTCTTGATCAGGTAATTGCCCAGCTCCACCCCCTGCAGTCCGGCCTGGGTGGAAGAGATGGAGTAGAAGATGGCGGCGTTGATTTTATTCACATCCTCATCTGCATCAAGAGTGGCAAACTCTCTCACAATGCCCTGGAAAAATAAGGGACACAATAAATTAATAGACTCACCTGGGACTGAATGCAGCTGTTGGCAGAATCGTGGGCCATAATGAACAATTGCGTACACTCGGGACACGCTGTCTTTGTCCCCCTTCTTACTCCACTACTTCCTTTTTCATTTCCACAGTTTTTTCTTTTCCATTTATGGACCAAATAGCATGTTCACAGTCTATTTAGAGCAAGACGTTGCAGGTGATTAGGGTAAACTAAAAAGTTACCACCATACTTAATCGATTACATTAAATATCACAGATTTTTTTTTTTTTGTATTACGGTTTTCTAAAATGTTGCTTACATATAGTATGCAAGTGAGGTGTTATTCAATGAAATATGTGCTAGTTTGTATACATTTCTAGCAAATAAATCAGAAAAATAAAGTAAAGGTAAAATCAGGTAAAAAATAAATAAATAAATAAAAATGTAAAAAAATTATATATATATATATATATATATATTGGCACATAGAGTCAATGGTTTTTGAATGGTCAATCTTTTTATTACTCCAATCAGAAAATTCAGCAAAAAGGAAAAACTACAATTTTTTATTTTATAAAATATACTCCAAAATCAGGGAAATTTTATAAAAAATAATTTATTTTTTATTATTTGTAAAAAAGCTTTTAGAATACAGATATGATAAAACTGTAAAGTTTGATATACAGCGGGAAAAATAATGTTTCTCCGGGAACATATTTCTAAAGGTACTGTTGACTTGAAAATCTCCCCAGATGTTGGTAACAACCAAATAAATCCATATAGGCAAAGAAAACAAATCTAATTAGTTTACAAATTACGTATTGAACACATGAAGAGAGATAGGTGTAAAAAGGCAGTGAAAGCCCAGAGAGCAGCTGAAATCTCTCAGTATTTATTCAGCAACCCTCTGCCCTTCATCATTGTAAATGAATTTTAGCTGCTTCAGTCCAACATCTACATTATCAGTATGATAAAGATTAAATGTCCAGGGTGGACATTTCAGCAAGACAATGATCCAAAACACAGCCAAGGAAACTTTCAAATGCTTTCAGAGAAAGAAAATCAAGCTGTAGAATGGCCCAGCCATTCCCCTGATTTAAATCCAATATAAGATACATCCGATTTGATCGACGAGACCCATAGAACCATCAAGATTGTTACACTCTGTTGAATTCTATGAAAAATCTCACACCTGAGCAATTCATGTTATTTTCACTCTCTATATAAGAGGCGTCTTTAAGCTGCCATCACCAAAAAGCCTTTTATATAAAGTTTTAAATACGTTTCAATAATAAGGTACTTTCTCCTTGTCATTTGATAGTTATTACGCAACAATTTTTTTAGGCTGTTTTTTTTTTGTTTTATTTTATTTTACAAGAGTTTACACTTAGCTGATGACTGATATATAAAGCAAGTTTGGCATGCTGAGGTCCTTGAGCCCTGGGCTCCCTCTCGTTTGCAAGGTGACAGGGGAGCTCTGTGCTCAGGTAGGTCTTGAGAACTCCCCCTTTTTTGATAAGAGCTGATGACAGTAAATGATTGCTATGAAGAGATATGCTGCTGGATGAGAGTTTGACTGCAGTGCTTAAAATTTACTTATGGTGCATGTTTTTGGAATGTGGGAGGAAACCGGAGAACCTGGGGAAAGCCACTAGAGGACGGGAAGAACATGCTAACTTCGCACAGAAACAACAGGCGGCCTGTTTAAGGACTAGAACCGGTGACGTTCTTGCTGTGAGGCAACAGTGTTAATCACTGGCTCAATGTGCCGCCCTACATTGATTAATGCAGAACCAGCAGTATTCAATCATAATCACGTGTTCTCTTCAAACTAGTTTATAAATAAACTTTACTTATGTTGGTATTGTTTGGGTTTTTACCAAAAACTGGTTCAATTCCATGTCAATAGCTCCTTTAGAAATATTATTCCCAGGAAAAACATGACACGTTCAAGACAAAATCTTTCTGATGTATATAAATGCTGCTGAATTAATTGAGAATTTTTTATTGTATTGTATTCTAATTGAAATCTACAGACACAAATTCATAAAGTGCAACAAAAGAAACACTTTTTTGTGTGATCTTTTCTTTAAATTAAAAAAAAAAAAAACTTCCTGAAAAGGCCAAAAATACCTAAATTGAGAGGCCTTAAATTCTGACCATGAGCCAGCAATTATGATTTATTTGATGTAATAACTTTGATGTAATTTCCCTATTGTGTTCACCTGGATATTATTTGCTATGTCCTCAGTTAAAGCAACATGCAGCACCACCAGTGGTTCTCCGGGCATGGATGCGTGGGTAAAGGCGTAACACCTCCGGTTTGGCCCTACTCTGCGCTTCAGATCTGTCCAGTTTCTCACAGGGTGCACCGCTTCGTACCTGGAGAAAAAAAAAAAGAAACTCAACTAAGAAGGCAAATAAAAGGAGTTGTTTCTACCTCTAGGAGAGAGATCTTACTGGCTGATCTTCTGAAGGATTTCGCATGGGGACTGCCAAGTGATTCTTTCAAGTCGGAGGAGCCCAACAGAGAACCATTCAGACAGAAGAGCCTTCAGAGTGCTGTTCAGGTCCTAACACACAAACATACATAAACAGAGAGGAGTATAGATGAAGAATGTGAGAAGGGTCTTCAACACCAAAAAACTCATTTAGCACAAAACTAGTATAATATTTGTGTTAATTTAAATATGTTCATAAAATTGTACATTTTAAGGGAAAAGTTGTGACCCAATCTGGATTATTTTTCTAGTGTTAGCTTACTATTTTTATATACAATAATATATGTATGTGTATTACAGTAATATTTCGTTTTTTATTGTTTTTGGAAACAACTATTTTTATTTTAAACATTGTCATACAAATTGATAAAGTTTAAAATTTTCAGTTTAGCAAAAAAATACTAAAATAATATGTAACTCAAGATAAATTCATACACTGAAAGAAATAATAATGATTATATTAAATAATACAGCAATAACATATTTTTCTAATCTATATACTTTCAATGTCCATCAATTAAACAAAAGAGTCACAATCTAGACTCTCCAAAAGTCAAAGAACATAAAATTAACAGCAATCTTTAATGTTAGGTCACTTTAAAGTTTATATATTTTAGCATATTTATTAAAAATGTAAGATCTAAGATTACTATTTAAGTGTTATTTATTTTTTATTTTCTTTCAGTATAGTTTCAATTTAATTTGTTTTCAGTTCGGAATTTTAATGCTTCATTCCATATCCAAACTTGTTTTGATTGGTTTACAAAATTATTAACAATATTATTATATCTTAAATAAACATTCCTAAAAATAACCCTGGACTAAAAATAAATCAAATAATTTCCTCATATGTAGAAATGTTGGTATTAATTTATTTTGATGGTCCCTTTAACGCATTTTGTTGAATTTAAGTTAAATTGCATCAGTTAAAGAATTATTAGCCCCCCTTTGATTTTTTTTTCTTTTTTAAATATTTTCCAAATGATGTTTAGTAGAGCAAGTCAATTTTTACAGTATGTTTGACAATGTTTTTTTCTTCTGGATAAAGTCCTATTTGCTTTATTTCAGCTAGAATAAAAGCAGCTTTTAATTTTTTAAACACCATTTTAAGGACAATATTATTAGCCCCTTTAAACTAAATTATTTTTCGATAGTCTACAGAACAAACCATCTTTATACAATAACTTGCCTAATTATACCAACCTGCCTAGTTAACCTAATTAACCTAGTTAAGCCTTTAAATGTCACTTTAAGCTGTATAGAAGTGTCTTGAAAAACACCTAGTCAAATATTATTTACTGTCATCATGGCAAAGATAAAATAAATCAGTTATTAGAAATAAAACTCGTGTTTACAAATGTCTTGAAAAAAATTAAGAAATTGAAATTGGGGGGAAAAAAGCAGGGGGGGGGGGGGGGGGGCTAATAATTCTGACTTCAACTGTACATGCTAACTAATTCTCATTAGATTATAAGTAGACTGTTAGTTTGGGTTTAGTGTAAGTTGACATGTACTTGCAAAGTTTCTTATAGTCAGTTAAATGTGTTGAAGGAGCAGTATTTGGCATGTGCTGTAGTTGCAATGGAACTTTTAGCCAACAAAATGTGCAATACAGACCATCAAAATAAAAAAATACAGAAATGTTAGCAAAGATTATAAAATTCTTCAAAAACTATTGTGGAAATTGTTATTTCATGTTAGCTAACACATTGTCGAATAGTTAAAAAATAAACTGTTAGATTTTAATGTGCAAACATTTTGTAAATTATGTTCAAATTAAGACAGAAAAACTTTTTTTTTCATTACAATCACAAAAGTTATAAAATCCTAAAGCAAAATGCTTCATTTCCAATGCAAACCTTTCTCCTCACTAGGCCTGATATATATTTTTTCTTGTATGATATGTTGCACCGAAATATATTACGATAAACGACATTATTGTCGTTTTAAGACCATTTTATGCCACTCATTGTATGATGCCAGAATTCCAGTATAATATCATCACAATGCATTTACACTCTTCCAAAGAACAGATCATATTTTAAGAATATTTCATTTAATTATTGTTATTTTAACTATTTATTAATTAGGCATTGCAATCAGAATGTGAAAACACATATCCTAAATAAATAATAACATATGTTAACAAAAACAAAAGTGCAGGGTAAAAAAGCAACAGAGGCTGTGATATCTGCTACCTACAATATACCATACTATAGTAATTTAGAGTAAACACTGTAGTGTTTTTTTTTTTACCATACAGACACTGACACCTCCAATGGAGATAAAGCACAATCAGCTAAAATGTTGCTAGAATTAGTTTTTATATACAGTATGGACGATATATATTGCATCACTAAAATGATTGAGGTCATGTTCATGTGTTGTACAGTATATTCATATATTGATTATTGTGACAGGCCCACTCCTCACTAAATTTAATGTTAAACAGGTCATCCAGAAACGCTCCCACCATTGGAAAAAGAGCTTATTTACAATTCATCTCAAAAGTGTAAGCACAAAAACCAGCCAGTTTAATCCTAAGAGTCAACGAGAGTGTTGAAAACGGTCATGCAAAACGAAATCATGTGTAAAAAAAAACCTTGACTAATGTCATAAATGGACTTCAGGGAGAGAGGGAAATAATAATCCGCTGCAAAAGTGCAAAGCATAGCTGGTTTAATATTGTAATTCATGTGCAATAAGCAGCGATATTCAAGAATCATTCTCAGTACAGCTGCGCTCATAATGGCGCATAATTATAAAGTGTGCAGCTTCCGTCGAGGGAATTAATATTTCACAGCCACTTTCGCAGAACGTGTGAAGCAACTCACAGTCGCTGCCATTTCATCTGTAGCGTATACAACACTTTCAGAGGAGTCTCGTTTTCCCTCTGTCTGTTTATTTGCTTTGGCGGTGCTCTCATTAGTGCGCGGGATCTGTTAGTGTCCATTGGAGGACGCTGAAAGATTTCTGTGGTAAACACCGTTCCATTTCATCAAAGAGCTGTTGCTCACCACATGAGGAATGATGCTGAACTCTCCCTCGAGGGTCAGATTTCTTTCATAATGGTGATGAGCAACACAACACGCATACAAATAGCCGGATCTATGGTGTACAAAGTGCCTCAGAAAATGCTAGGCTAGAAGCTCCTGCGGATTTTTGAGCTTAGCCCCTTGTGCATCAATTTAAAGTTACGCAAAATGTTCACAGACGACAAAACTGATCAAGTTAAAAAAAAACAACATCTTATTTGAAATTGTTTTGAGGCTTTCACTGATGTTTCTTTAGCCATCAGTCATGATGATAACTACTAGAAATTAATTTGTTTTTTTAAACCTTAATAATTGCAGTTTATTTATATAATGCCATATTATTTATAATATAATCTAATATTTTTTACATTGAGGCAAAGCAGACTTTTTATTTTATTTTTGTATTTAAACTTTTCTTTGTAGCAGTCTTGGATACAGTAAGTCAACAATCAGAAAGTACATATACATATATATATATAGTTGAAGTCAAAATTATTAGCCCCCCTGAATTATTAGCCCCCCTGTTTGCCCAAATTTGTTTAACAGAGAGATTTTTGAACACAATTATAAAATAATAGTTTTAATAACTGATTTGGTTTATCTTTGCCATCATGACAGTATACTGTCATATATACATATTATTTTACTAGATATTTTCAAGACACTTCTATATAGCTTAAAGTGACATTAAATGGCTTAACTAGGTTATTAGATTAACTAGGCAGGATAGGGTAATTAGGCAAGTTATTGGATAATGATGGTTTGTTCCGTAGACTATCGAAAAAATATATAGTTTAAAGGGGCTAATAATATTGACCTTAAAAAGTTTTGTAAAAATTAAAAGCTGCTTTTATTCTAGCTGAAATAAAACAAAAAAAGACTTTCTGCAGAAGAAAAAATATTATCAGACTTACTGTGAAAATTTCACAGCTTTTTTCTTTCAGAGAAGAAAAAAAAATCAAAGAGGGGCTGATAATTCTGACTTCAACTGTATATATTTTAGGGCTGCACAATACTAAAAAAATCTGACATTGCGATGTTTTGTTTTACTGAGCTATATAGTGCGGTATGAATACATACAGTTTCATCCAGATGGCTTGAATAGCTCTATTTTGAAACAAATCATTCATTTACATTGCTTGAGGGTGATTTTGTATTGTGTAATGATTTTGTGAATCACGTAAAAAAAAATATAAAAAAATTGTAAGCAAAAATAAATACTACAGAGCAACAAAAAAGAAAATAAATAATGCTTTATGGTTTTCCAGATTCAAATATTCAGGTGTAAAAAACAAATAATGAAATGTAAAAAGTAAAAAATAATAACAATAACACTTTATAGTCTTTATTTTATTATGTCAGTAAAATTATTCTTTTAAGTTGTGCCAGAATGCTTTAAACTGTATTGACACGCCTTTAAAAAATAAATATTAATAATAATAATAATAATAATAATAATAATACTAATAATAATAATAAAGTGAATTCTGATGGATCTCTGATGTGACGGAAAACTGTAATGAAGCTGACAATTCATCTTCAAAATCACTGGAATAAATTATTAAACTAAATTAGAAACTACTTTTGAACAGTTATTTTATAGTGCAATAACATTTCACAATTTTACTATGTGTACTGTGTTTTTGATTAAATAAATGCAGCCTTGGTGAGCTGGATGAGCTTATTCTAAAACATTTAAAAATCCTACTGATCACAAACTTTTAACCGGTAGTATATAAATATATATCTGAAAATAAACTACTCATGCACATTCTCAGTATATACATACTGTACTGTAAAAACAAACCAAACGCTCATATCCATACCAACACACACTCACACTCACACACAAACGCACACACGCGCAGACGCACACACACACACACACATGTATAATTACATTATTTTATTCTCTTTGGCCTGCAGTGCTCAGAAGCAGAAAACCGCAAAATAAATAAATAAATCTATTATTTACTTTGCATGACAAACCTGAAAAAAGTGCTAATGTATTCAACAATATGAATAATATTAATAATA